TTCGCCATCTTATGGGTGGGGGCTCTTCACCCGCAGCCAGGAGAGCCCCAGCATCTTCCTCACCCTGTGTTAAAACTTAAATCTAACTCCCAGAAGGCCTATCTTCAGAGACCAGCAATTTTCTGCAAGCCAAACAACCAATTCATGAAATGGCCAATCAGCAGACTCATGGATTTTCTGAATAACACTTTACTAACATTACCAGCTTCTGAGGTTCCTAGCAATTTCTATTAGATGGAATGGCTTCACAAGCTTTTAAAGGTTTATGGGATGCCTGAGTCTCACGTTCTCTTCAGAGAAGCATTTGGAGGAATTTTCTGTTTATCAGAAGCTAAGGATAGTTTATTCTTCCTTTGAATATGTTTAACTTATGAATACATTAATGAAGAATATGTTCTTGAGTATAGATTTTTCTTGAGCATATTAATATTGTGCCACTTGGTTTACACACTTTGTCCCCCAACACTCTCCACTTCTCCATTTTTCACTTTCTCCCTTTGTCTCTCCCCCAAACCATCTCCATCTCATCACCTCTTAATCAGCTCCATTTGCCTCTTAATCTCTCCCCATCTCTGTCTTGCCCTACCCGTCTCCCTGTTCATCTTTTCCTGAGTCCATCCTTTCTGACTCTGTCCTTCCCTACTTCCCTAGTCTCTCCTCTTATTTCTATCCCTTACTTTTCCCTTCACTCTATTCTCACTTCTATCACTTCCCTCTCTGCAACTCGGTTTCTCCCTGCAATAGCAGCAAGCTGGGGACAAAGCATACTGAACATTCCTCAGTATGCGGCTCTGAAGAAAAATAAAAATCACTTACTGTAACTTCACAACTCTTGTAGAAAACTGTTCTTAAAAACCAACATGCAATGTGAGTAGTTAAAAAGAGGCCAACTTTTGGTGAATTTGGCAAATTGGTCATTCATGGAATTGCATTGTTGTAAACCCTGTAAATAACTAAAAAGAAGCCAACATTTGGTAAATTTGGCAAATCGGTCACTCAAGGAATTGCCTTTAAGATAATCAGCTTTAAGCCCATAAAAAGAAACCCGAGGAGCTTCTGAGTCTGCAAGTTCATTCCTAAAATCAAGTACACTATAACAGCTTTCTTCTAGAAGGTGTTTTTTTTTCATAAGAGGTTGTTGAAAAGGTTAAATTAGATGGTGGCAGTAAAGCACAAAAGTTAGCACAAGGTATATGCTCAGAATGTCTTATAACTGCATATGAGACCCCACTGTGTGCCAGACACTCTGTAAGCATCGTAACCACTGTATTCAATAATGTGTGGACTTTGCCTTTTATGCTCTGACAATTTATACTGACTGTTTCTTGTTCTTGTCAGACTCAGTTACAGGTCTCTTTGACCCAAAATCAGAGCTCATAACCACTTCTCTTCACTAGTTGCCTCAGCCCCTTTCATCAACATGAAAAATGGGTATTTGGCCATTGGTCCATGTGGAGTGGTTTTTCTAAGGGTTCCCTGGTCCTGAGGGATCCTGGGAAGCAAATCTTTCATAGGTCTTCTAGGAAACAGTTTTTGACCTGGAAAAAGACCAGCTGCAGCTTTTAAAACCTGGGTAAAAGTCTCCTTAGTTCCCCCAGTGTTGAGCAAAAATAGCTTTTGGGGATACAAAGCAATGTGAGAGTGAGGGCTGTATTAAACTAAGTCCTTTTCTAAAAACATTTGTGAATGTGATCAGAAACCGAAGGGAAACCCTACATCAGCTCCTGTTACATTTGACAGTATATTTCAATACATCTCAGTCCAAAAGACTCAGAAACATTGAATTAAATAAGTCAAACTCTTAACAGTTTAGCTTTCAAATGTCATATTTTAGGTAGTTAACAATCTTCCATTTTAACAGATCATGCAAACAGGAACACAAGACACAAAATACCAGCGTTACAGGCACTCCCATTTGCTACATATATTACAATTTAGAATCAAGTTCTAAAATACAAATCATACCAGACTGCAGCAAAAACATCAAGTAAAACTGTATATTCCTACATCTTTGCTATTTTTTACTTTGGAGGTGTGACCATAAAAGAACATGACTTCTTGTCAACAAACAAGGCAGAATTCAGATAAAAATGCACAGTGTCCCTTCAACTTCTGTGGCTGTGGCATATTCTGTGTCAGCTGTTCTTGCTCTCAACATATACTTTTGAGAATTGCCACTACTCTTGCAAATATTGTGTGTGTGTGTGTGTGTGTGTATGCAGGTGTGTGTACTCAATGGGAAAAATTTCCGCCTTTTGGGGAAAATGTGTTACACGGAGCTGGAACCCCACAGGTTTTCATTCTGACTCTGCCACATAACCAGCTGCATGATCCTGGGCATCGTAGTTCATCCTGCCACACCTGTGTTTGCTTGTCTAGTAACACCGCCCTCCTGCTGTAGAGTACTATGGGCCTTAAATGAGATAAATGTGGCACATCCCTCACACAACATAGCTTTCTTCTCCTCATTCCCTTGTGTGTGTGTTGTTGCTTTTAAGATGCAACAATTTAAAAAATATTCCTTTTCTCTTTCTTTTGAAGGCAGCTTTTATCATCATTTTGGTATTAGCCAAAGGGGATTTGGGGTTGAAAACAATGGATATATAAAAGGTGTGTGAACTCTAAGTGTGTGAGGGAGAAACAACAAGGCAGAATGGCCAGGGTAGTGCAGGCGCTGGGGAAAGCTGTAAGAGAGGCTCGGAAGATAGGTGCTCTGAGAAGCAGCAGCAGTCACAGTGGGACGGCTGTCACGCATCTCAAGGTGAGCCCTGGAGGGGACAGCATCTGTCTGCATGTGTAAGGCCTCTGCACAGTCACAGAGCTCCAGCCCAGGAAAGCTGTTTAATTCCCCCGTGGAACCCTACCCACATGTCCCTGTAGTTGCCATTTCAAGTCTGAAAGCTTGGATTGCGGCGAACTTCTGAGGCTCCCATGTTTCCTGAGAAGCAGGAGAACTCATCCAGATCCAACCGATTCTCTTGGAAATATTCTGCTCTGTATTCCAAGTCCAGCCTTTCTGTTGACCACTGCCATCCGCTGCTCTTCCAATGGGGCCAAGAACATTCCAAACTACCAAACCCCTGAGACTCTTCCTTTGACCCCAGAAAGTCCAGGTGCCTGGAAACTCATAGGCCTCACCTGCCATTTTCTTCAGAGGCATCCCAAGAATCACTTTGCTGCATCCCCCTGTGGCCTCCCCTAGGAGTGAATGTGCAGAATTTTCTTGAATGTCTTTTTGAAGTTCTCATTGCACAAGGGGTAGATGAGTGGGTTCAGTGTGGAGTTGAGGTAGCCCAGCCAGATGGTAAACATGTGCACATGCTCGTTGCAACAGCTCTTGCAGAAGGCGACGACCATGAAGAAGATGAAGTAAGGGATCCAGCAAAGAATGAAGGCTGCCATGATGAAACCCAGCTGTTTGGCAGCCTTCCGTTCTCTATTCATGTGCAGCCCAGACACGTATTGTCTCGAATGCGAGCGGAGCCTCTTCCAGGTGAACTTGATGTAGTCCAGGCCTGCGCTAGACCCACTTCTCGGTTTGCATTTCCGTGACACTGATTCTGTGGCAGTGTCTGAATCTGTCCGTGAGACGGACTGGCTGTCACCTAGCATGTGATCCTCTGACATCTCACTGGCCCCACACATGGTCAGGCCTGGATGGTTTGCCTCAGGCTGACTCTGGCTCAGGCTGATGGGTACATAGCCCCGGCCACTCCCCTCTGCCTCAGTCTGCGTCTGCACAATGGTAAGTGGGAAGCAGGGGACTTTGTCCACTTCCCCATCTGCCTCTTGGCTACAAATGCCTGGAGACTTTATCTCCTTTGGGTCTTGGGATGGTGGATTCAAGACAGGTCCACCACTGGCATCTTTGGGCTTCCTTTTCAGAACTTCCCAGGGAGACTTCTTCCCCAGCTCCTGGGCCCCCACCTTGGGGTTCTCTGGTTTCAGCTTAATTTCAGAGAAGGAAGGGAGAGACCCGTTGATGAGCTCCCGGTGCTGACAATGCTGCCGTACAGCCTTGTAGATCTTGGCATAGAACCAGAGCATAAGCAAGGTGGGAAGGTAGAAGTTGATGATGGCAGTCATGATCTTGAACCAGGTGACATCGTAGAAGTCTGTCTCGCACTTGTCCCGGTGCCCTGGAGTCTGTGACATGAAGCGATGCCAGCCCAGAATGGGAATAATCCACAGGAAGGAGAGAGACCAGGCCCCCAAGATGGTGACTGATGCTCGGGTCTTGGTACGATACCTCAGGTATCGGAGGGGCTGCTGGACAGAGCGGTAGCGATCAATGCACAAGATGAAGACGCTGAAAATGGATGCTGTGCTGGCCACATAGTCCATGGAAAGCCAAAAGAGGCAGAGAGGCTGGCCCAGGGACCACCTGGACATGAGGAGGTAGATGATGTTCATGGGCATGACCACGGCGCCCACAATCAGGTCCGCCACTGAGAGGCTGACGATGTACAGGTTCCCCACGGTATGTAGCTTCCGTTCACTCCGCACAGCATATAGGACCATCAGATTGAGTCCCACTGTGACCAAGGAGATGGCACTCAGGATCACCACCAGGGGCATCCGCTGGGAACTGGCTATGGTGGTCTTGTTCCCCTCACACATCTTGGCTTCTAAGATGCAGGAGGAATTAGGAAGGTTCATTGGCACAAGAGCAGCCTCCAGCTGTGGCTCGCTCCCTGGGAAGAAAGATACAAGGATTAAGGTCAGAGCCTTGGGGATCAGTAGAGTCAGTTAGTACCATCACGTTGATCAAACTGGGGTTGTATGCTGTCAGGGGTAGTAGATACTGCTGGTTACATACAGTTTATATATTTTCTTCCTTCATCATTCATTCCTTCATTCATTCAATGACTAGTAGATTCCTGGCATTGTGCTGGGTGTTGGGAATATATTCAGTGAACAAAACAAAAATCTCTGCCTTTGTGGAGCTTACATTCTACTGAGGTTGCTGGGCAAAAGCAAGGCAAAGTTTGGATAAGTCCCATGGTGCATGTGTTCTGGGAAGGTAGGCTGCCTCATGATTGGTCTAAGCTGAACATGGCTCTCCAGTTCCTTTATGCCAACGGCTGGTCTAGGAATGGACATGGCACACAGCTGTGGCCAAGGAAGTAGATGGGGAAATCTAACGGCAATGCTCAGTCTCTGGAAAGTTCTTCCTTCCTGACAAATGAGTAAAACAAAGAAAAAGGATGCTTCCCATTTGTCCCCTTCTTCCTGACCGGAAGCAATGGTTGGGACAATGGCAGTCATCTTGGGGCCTTGAAGGAAACGCTAAGAAATCCACTGAGATGCCAATCCAGACTCCTGTTAAACTGGAGCTGCTGAACCACCCTAGAATCTTCTTCCTCCAGACTGGTTATTATGACAAATAATGTCTTCTTTGCTCAAGACTGGTTATTATGACAAATAATGTCTTCTTTGCTCAAGTCACTGTTGTAGGAGTTTTTACATGCAGCTAAAAGCATCCCTAACTGATATGGAGGAGGTTACCAGGGCACACAAGTGTGAAATAAATCTAGCACATCTCTTTAGATGAATGGTTCTTAGATGGGAAGGGGAATATGTTATCTGAGAAAGCATATTTTACTTTTTAACTTATTTTAGTTTTATATTTGAAAAAAATTAACTACATAAACTATGCAAACTAATATATAACAAAACCTTCTTTGCTAGTAAGGCTCTACTGAAAATGCTGTATCCTGTTATCAGATGACACTCAGTTGGGGTGGAGGTAGAAGTAGGTATTAAAACACCTGGAAGGGGTTGTTTGATTTTGATATTCATCAAAAAGTGTTATGAGTTTAAAGAAAACTGAGAAACACTAACATAGGCTGTAAATCCCTCTCAGTAAGTTAGTAAAAACAAATTATTTTTACATTAAGACAAAGTCAGACAAATTCCTGAGTAGATGCCTAAACTCATATGATTTTTTTTAAGATAAAAAGCAAGCCCCTAAGGCATTTGATCCTTGTGGAAGGAACCCTTTGAGCTATTTTGTTAGAAAAACACCATTTGGGTAACACTGATTTTGCCACAGCTCAGCTGCTAATTTTCTTAGTGGTCAAAGTTGAAAAGTGGGATAGGTGATCTCTAAAGGCTTCTCCAGGTGTTTTTTTCAATCTTGCTTTTTTCCATGTTTCCCTCTACCTCTGAACTGCCACAGTCAGAGCAACCATCCACCTTCTCTATGTGTGCCTCCCCTGACTTCTTCAATAGCATTACCTGCTCCTCTCTTGACCCAGTCGGGCCTCTGCTCCTATCACTCTGCTGCCTGCCTCAGGGGCCTTATTCACTCACCCCATCCACCCCAGCCATCACCTGGGTGAGGACAGCCCCCAGATCTACAGCTTCAGCCTCTATCTTTCTCTACCACTATGCCCAAGACCCAACACCTGGCAGTTTAACTTCAGTCCTGACCAAGCCCAAACCCCTTGGAATTATCTGCAGTCATGTCAGGAAGGAGGAAAGAGGCTAAAGGAGAACATCTCAGGGATTTTTGTTTTTTCATTTTGGTTGGGGGAAGCAGGAAGTGGTTCCCTCAAACTCTCCCAGAGCTTGTATTCTCAAGATGGCTGCAGCCTCCCGCTAACTTAGAAGTGCCTCTTGTCTCTTTCCTTCATTGCCTGAGGGCACTTCTTTTCTCATGTCTCCTTCTGCCTCGTTGCACACAAAAAGGAATCACTCAGTTAATGTGCATTGTACATACACTACTTACCATTCAACAATTACATTTGATAGAAAATGGTTTGTTTTTATGTAAAAATGTATTAGTTCCTTTTTGATTAAAAAAGAAAAGTTGTTACTATTGAACTGAGATCACTAGACTAAAAATTAGTGCCACATATTAGGTGTTCAGGGGAGAAATCTACTGAGATCTGCAACTTCCTTTGAAATCAATCAAAAAATAAGTTGGATGCTAAAAATAGAAATACCATTTGACCCAGGAATTCTATTTCTAAAAATTTACCCTAAGAATACAGAATTCCAGATTAAAAAAGACAGATGCACCCCTATGTTTATTGCAGCACTACTTACAATAGCCAAGAAATGCAAGCAACCTAAGTGTCCATCAGTAGATGAATGGATAAAGATGTGGTACATATACACAATGGAATATTATTCAGCTATAAGAAGAAAACAAATCCTACCATTTGCAACAACATGGATGGAGCTAGAGGGTATTATGCTCAGTGAAATAAGCCAGGTGGAGACAGACAAGTATCAAATGATTTCACTCATCTGTGGAGTATAAGAACAAAGAAAAAACTGAAGGAACAAAACAGCAGCAGAATCACAGAACCCAAGAATGGACTATCAGCTACCAAAGGGAAAGGGACTGGAGAGGGATAAGAGGATTAAAGGGCATTATGATTAGAACACATAATGTAGGGGGTGGCATGGGGAAGGAAGTATAGCACGGAGAAGACACGTAGTGACTCTATGTCATCTTACTATGCTGATGGACAGTGACTGTACTGGGGTATGTGGTGGGGACTTGATAATGGGAGGAATGTAGTAACCACAATGTTGCTCATGTGAAATTTGAGCATAAGATTGTACATCAATGATACCTTAATAAATAAATAAAATAAGTTGCATGGATGGTTGGTTAGAAGAATGGGTAAAGAAACAGATAAATAATACAGCAAAAAGAGCAAAATGTTAATTTATAACCTAGGTGGTGGATTTATGGGTGTCACTGCACCATGTTTCTGATTTTTCTATTTTATTATTTTCCGAAGAAATGTTGGGGAAATTAATATAACATATTTTTATATTCCTCGCCTATCAATGTAAGTCTAATTCTTTATCATATTTTCTCCTTCATATCTGGACATTTCTTTTGCATAGACATAAAACAAAGGGTCAACAAATATTTGTTAGATGGATGAATAGGTACCTGAAAAGCAGGATGCTGTGAAGTATCTCAGCTCAGAAATTACTCATTCAACTGAAACTTACTGGCAGAAAATTCCTTTTCAGCTCAGTGATCTGTTTTGGGAGCAAGAAAACCCACTTTCATCCTCTGAAGCCACGGGATTGAGAAAGATTCCTGGAAAGGCAACGGCAGCCCCCACAGGATGCATACAGACAGCGCATGGTGCCCGCTGCCCCAAGGAACACTGGAGGGGGCGTGGCAGGGAAGGAGGAGGAAGCCTGAGGGAATGAGGTGCCCCGGGCACCAGCTGACATAACAGGCCTCACAGGGAGGGCCACCAGGAGGGCAGCAGAAGCAGCCACAGCAATGTCGACTTCATTTCCCTCTCAGCACAGGTACATAATTTGTGGGGCTCAGTGCAAGATGAAAAGTTAAAATGTTATTAAGAATTTCAAGATGGCGACAGCAGAACATCAGATGAAGCATGAGCCCGTCCTGAGCACAGGGCCTGTGTGTGGCTGCCCGGGCCCCAGACCTGATATACCTATCCTGGTCTCTCTCCCTCTCACCCAATCCCTGAACAGCCCTACTCAGGGAGAAAATGAATGTGAGGCACCATCCCCTCCCTTGGGGATCTGCACTTTGAAAAACAGATCTGTGAATGGTTTTCCCTCTGTAAATACCAAAGGGATGCCAGGCATTCTGGCAGTGTGGGAGGTGTTTGGGAGCATATGTCCTCATTTCTTCTCATATTCCATGGGAGGCCGTGCTCCCCTCAGGCTGCCTAGGCCCCGTCAGGTTCTGAGGTGCTCTCTGGGGTCAAGGCCAAGCCTGCAGACATGATGCTGGCAGGAGAGTGTGCTCCAGGGGGAGAGAATGCAAGCTGGAGGGGCACTTCAGACAGAGCATCTCAAGAAGAAAGGTGGGCACCTGTCTGTCAGAGCACCATGTTCCTAGAGAAGCAGGCGATGGGGGAAAGAGTCCCCACCTGGGCTCTGCCACTTGATGGGCTATATGGCATGGGGACAAACAGCTGGGTCTCCAAGTTCCTCATCTGCAAAGTAGGGAAAATATCATTACTTCCCTTCCTGAGCTGGTAGGAGAAGCAGTTGAGACAGTGGGGTGGGATGACTCCACTACCCCCCAGATGACAATCACTTGGTGGCAAGCAGAAACAGAACATTTTTCTTGTGTACAAACAGCCATCATTTTTCAATTAAGGCAATGGCTTCATTCCAAAACCATTAGCTGCAGTGGAACTTTCACTAGAGTGGTTACAGTCTAATCCTATCAGGTCAATTTATGTGCCAGCTAATAAACAAAGGTAGTCAATGTTCCTTCTACATCCTGGGAATGCTGACTGGGGCAGCTATGACAGTCAGGAGCTAGGCCCTGGGCTTTTCATATATCGGTTATCAAACATCTGCCACCAGCCCGCAGAGAGGTCTTCTGATGACCCCCAAGGCAGAGACGAGTAAACGTTCAGCACAGGCTTAGAAGGATGAAGTGACTTATCAAGGTCACATAGCCAGGAAGAGGCTGGTAAAGTCAAGATTTAAACCTAGGACCAACTAACTCAGAGTTTCTTGATCTTCATTTTAGTGACCTTTTGAGCTGGTTAATATTTTGTTGTGAAGAAATGTCCTGTGCATGGCTGGATGTTCAGCAGCATTCCTGGCCTCTCTACTCACCAGATGCCAGTAGCATCCTCTCCCCATTCCCAGTTATAACAGTCAAAAATATCTCCAGACATTGCCAGGTGTCCATGGGAGTTGAGGGAGGAGGGGCCCAATGATC